AATTACAAATCATGGCTATATAATTACAGCGAGAGCCGGATGAGAAAGAGGTTAATTTTAGATTGTGAAACCCAGCAGATAGCTGTAGTGATGGTATTTAACCGTCATGATTAGCCGGACAGTTTAACAATGATCATTTAGAGAGGTGACCTGGTGGGATCTTATTATGTTTCTACAGAAGTTCCTGTAACCTTCCTACGTCATAAACACCGTGCTAATTCGTAAGGAGACGGTCATATCTTTAGATCGAGTTTTGATTAGGACCCGGCACAGGAATAAATTGATTTTGTCTGATAGAAACCTATCAGTGCGAGTGAAGTTCAGATCTAAATTGATGTTATTTCTGTAAATGTTCCTGTTTTCATTTCATACATGAAATGAAATCAGCATATTTGTCAGGTTATTGTCATATTATCTCCAGAGGGAATCTTGGTTTATGATTAGTACCAGGCGCAGGAATTTAGGAATTTGTTAAATTGATTTATCTGTTTGACACCATGCCGTGCCAGTGTAACAGCACGTGTAACAGTACCTGATTCCAGTAGAGAATATTAATTAACGAATCACACTCAACACTCTATCCTACACTCTGATAAATTTTTAAACGTACCATGAGTAGTCCCACAGTTATATATAATGCACGTCCTCCAGTAACACTGAAGTCAAAACGTGAAATATCAAAGTCAAACATAGAAGTCAAACAAATAAATTAATAAACGTATGTTGAAGAAAGTCTTGCACAAATGATTTAAGAATCAACAATTGTCAGAGTCAATCATCAGTAACTACTGTCTACTAAAAGTAAATGATTTATTAAGAAAGATAAAATTAAAGCTCTTAAGTTTATAATGGTCCCAACTTTACTATGTTAAGTAGATCACTAGGTATTCTACAGTCACAGTTAAGCAATTAATAGGCAATTAATAGCAATTAGTAGGCAATGAACCAACTAGATATTGTGATGATTAACTAAATCTGGCTCGTTTTAAGAGGTTACACAGGTCAGACTTAATTACAAGAGTAGTACAAAGTTTAGCCCTTACAATTATAGTATTATCGACCAAAACTAAACACCGAACATTTAATTGAATATCCTCAATTATGTTAATGTCGACTATCTACTTACTCAAACAGTCTCACAAGATTAAATTTACAGACGAATCAGATCATAATTTAACAAATGGCCCCTCACAATTTGCCAATCAAATTTTTTCATAAAAACGTTGAATTAAACGAAATATAAAAGTTCAGGAGAAAAATTAATCATAACATCTAATTATGAGATATAAAAGGAGCAATGGACTGACAGGATGGTAGTTAGAGGTACAGTAACGAGACAGAGACTGCCTCAATTCTCAATAAAATGAGCAGTGCTGCTGAACTTAAATTAAGAGACTGATGGGATAAAATTGTAGATGTAGTCACAGATTGGACAGGTAGGTTACCAGTTCCATTAAAATTAGAAATGTGGTGAATGCATGTAAAATCGCTACACAAGGAAGCAGTAGTCGAACAGACAGCCACAAAAGAGTATTCCTGATTACAATAAACGGTATAACCTGTTAAGAGAAACGTAGATTGGTGTGATTAGCTTCCTAGACATTAAGGTCTAGGTGTTGTCCCAGGGGTCAACATACGGCCGGCTCTAGACTGTATTTCCTGCAAGAGTTGGTAGCCACCTCTTTTAATAAGAGGTCAGTTAATTGTACACACATCCTGAACTGCTGAATAGTCAAGAGTTCATTATATTGTTAATCTGAGTGCAATGTTGGAGGGAGAGCTAGAGGGTTTGAAAATTACGTCATCAATAGTTTGGACTTGATAATAGCCACTGGTATTTAGCAAAGAATGTAAAAAATAATGGAATGTTAGAAGAATGTTGTTGCTGGAAACAAAAAAGAGACTTCAATAATATCTTAATCTGACTGATTTCGGTAAATTCTATAAAATTATTAGGTTGAGACATATCTAAAAATATGTCTGTATAACCAGACAAAATTGTAAAATAAAAGCTGCTCAGTTCTTTTCCTTTCCTTACAGCAGAGGCCCAACTTGGGGAAAGGTTATAATCTCTCTATGAGAGTGCCAAGACTCCTACAATTGGTAGTTCTTCTTGGTCAGAAACATTCAAACCATACTGTTCAGCAGATATTCAATGGTGCTGGGTAAGTCATGAAAGCGGTGATTTGATACCTCCTCAGCAAAATGAGAAACTAAGGGCCCATTCTGGCACAGACTATATATGAGACCCTATATTATGAGGGTCACTGCCCACTGAGATATTGATTGAAGCCGACCAGCATTGAACTTGAACCCCCTTCAATCTCCTTTCAAGTCTCTAAAGTATCCACAGATCCACTCATGGTTCTTAAATTATGTGGTAAACCATTTCAAAAAGTGACAGTATTCAAGGAGCCCAACCCAGTCCGTGGACCAGTCCTCAGACTAATATGGTCTTATAATACCTTCCTGGAATTATATCTACTAAAACTCGTGGACACTGAGAGCTGATAATTTGCAGATATATCCCGCAAGGGAAGCGAAGGTATTATCAGCATAGACACAGACTTGCTGGCGGCAAGTTTCAAAACAAATAACACTGGCGTTCTATATATTACACACTATATTGTATCATGCGCACGTTACATTACATCCCTTCCAATCGGAACCGGAATGTATTATAAAATATAATATCTTCGCTGTTTCGTGCCCGCGCGTTCCCTCCAGCAAGCTGGCGGGAATTATTGCACTCAGAAGCGAAGGTATTATAGTATTATAACATAAGACATATTAGTTACATAATTGAAACAATTACTTCCCCTATTTTGGGCAAAATATGTGTGGTGATGATGAAGATTTTTCTCAATACAAAGTGTATAAAACTTATCTGAGTGACTGCGATAAAAGAATTTAAGAAAATCAATAATATTAATCTAACAACAATAGAGATTAAGATCAGATGGAACAAAATGCAGCCACCTAAATTGTTTGTGAGCCCACAAGCATTCTCTCCATTCTCTGGCGGTTGACACTTGACTTGATTGGTTCTTTGGCAAGAGCTGGGAAATTTGATCATTACAAATACCGTGCTGTAGATATTCAAGGCATGTGGACTAAGTGGATCGAGAATAATTGACTTGAAAGTGAGTGTTAATGTTGAGAATTCTCAAGATGATGATAGTGATTGGTAAGGTGGATAAAGTCCCATAGATGAGGTAGTATAACGAGTAGAAGACGATGGAACTTGGAAGGAAGTGACAGGGAGATGAGTAGGGAGTAGGGAGAGCACTGTATTAAATCAGATATTTATGAAAGCTCCCTGATGGCAAGTTGTGCACGACAGTGCAGCGAAAAGCAGTGATGCTGTCATTTAAAAAAAAGCTAAGTGATTATACTGAATAATAGAAACGGTGAATTCAGCAAATAGCAACTTCGAAATAATTTAGAATATGAACTCATTAAATATTTCAAAATGGCCACAACCCCTTTTAATAATTTTGTTTCTCTAATTCAGTTGAATTTTACATCTTTAACAGTGTGACCGTAGAGGATCCATGACAACAAATTCAGTATCAAGCAATCACGATATATCATGGCGACGATAAATAGTAGGTTGAATGTAGATCTGACTTTTGAGGGATGAAGCAAATGAAAGGATCAAATTACACATCGAAACAATAGCGCTCGATTTTCATACTACTGACTACGGTGTAAATTAGAAAAAATATGCGCGGCGTACTTTACATTTTAATTGAATTCTAAAATAATTTTTGGTCATAACTTTATTAAATACATTTAAGTTATTTATTTTTTTAATCATGAAGCATTTTTTCTATAAATATACATAATGACAATTGACAGTAGCACCAAACCTGAAGCAAATGCCAAAAAGGGTACAAATTTTGAACACTTTTTTTAAATTTTTTGACCAACAAAATTCTTAAATATAGCTATTATGTATTATATTAATTTTAATATCATTAAATTTGTACATAGTTAGTTTTATTGTTTATTATCATGAATTCACTGTCATGAAAATGTTCCTATATGCCAACAAAAGCAACTTGCTAAAAATATTTGAAAACATGGTTTTTTTGGCAAAACTCATTTTTTTTAAAACTTTTACTTAAACAAGGAAACTTAATTAAACCATTTCACATTTTAAAAAAGCTATTTTCAATGAACTCTACGGTCAAAAATACGCAATAAAATAGTAGAATTAAAAATTTATTTGTAGTCTCTATTGAAGGTTTATAATCTATCAAAACTTACCTGAGGACCCCAGGCTATTATGTTCATTAACATATGAATAAAGATTTGGCGGAATGACAGGCTGAGCGCGGCCCAGTAAATCAAAACGCGCGCCGAGTTGGACTCGTCGAAATGACAGTTTGTGGCCGTCTGGCCGAGCAAATATTTTACGAGTATCACCCGTTTATTGTAGGCTTACAACCTCCCTGTAAATGTACTGTACTTTGCAAATGCAAAGTTCAAACATAAAACCATGCTTGATGCGGTCGAAATTTATTAAGATAAGTACTTTTTTAATCATTATTAGCTACAATTATGAATGACTTAAAATTTTAATTTTTTATTGCTTGGTTCAGTGAATTATTCCACTTTTATGCTATTACTAGGTAAACACTTATGCTTTTGGGTTAACACGGAAATCATAATTACCAGAAACATTTGTAGCGCTATGCGCTACTGGGCCGCGCCTCGACGAGATGCGAAGGATTGACAATGGAGCCAATTCTTTAAACTGGCTTACTTATACTACTTAAAGGGTGTTTATAAATTTTATTTTGTTTTACTATTTTTATATAGGGTAATTGTTATATTATGTGTATATTGTTTGAATAATTTTTCCTAATTGACATCGTGAATCAACAGAAACATTTGCTTCGTTGTTAGATGAATGTCAAAAAAGATCTCTGCAGTTGTCTGATTATTAGTTGTTCATAAGTTTTAAACATTTTTGCGTTTTGAGATATTATATTGATGCCAACAAGAATAGAAATGGTTTCGATGTTTTTGATATGAAGAAGGTTTTGTATTTTATAGAATTTTATCAAGCTAATCACATCTTGTTCCTTTTTAACATAACAAAGGAAAACCAGCCGATTGAAGATCCTGATACTCTATACAAGGTCGGTAAAAATTATGTTAATTTGTGTCCACAGGTTTTGAATAAAAAATATGATATTGATAGTTATTGTAAATATTGATTATTCACAAATTGTTTGTAACGTATCATTGATAACATATTTAACAATGTGTTGTAAATTTTCCCTTGACAGACGACAACATTTCTTGAACGATGCATCCATTCAGTGGTGTAGCGACCATTGTAATTGTGTTCATTAGGTGTATTATGGCTGGGATTTGTAACAATTAATCTATCATTTTAACAACAATATTATTTAAGGAGGTGTTAGAATATGCTGAAATTTTTGGACCAGTATGCACACTTAATCTTAAAATTGACAAGGTAAGTTTTTGATAAAATTTAAATTTGATTGCCATTACAATTAATAATAATATCATAATAAATGTAAGTAAACATCTGATAATAAACTTCAAGTCTGAACCAGTATAGCCCAAGATGCTCTATTAACAAATAAAAAGAACTTGCAGGTTCATGGTCCTTTAAACGTGCATACTTACAACATAGTCCATACCGATCTAGCTATAATTCTACGACACAAATTTTATCAATTAAATAATATCAACATGATCGGAAATATGTAAGGGGAATTTATTTTCAATTCTTTTACTGCTGGCTGCAACTTATATCAATGGCTTCCAAATTGGTGATTTTACTTCGGTGGCGTATCGTTGCCTATTGCCCCCTCCCTCCCCCGCTAAAAAAGCGCCCCCCCCCCCCCCCCCCTATTGGCACCCCCTCACATCTTAAGTAGAACGTAAAATTGGACAGATTAGGTGATTTTAGAGGGTCACGGTAAAAGCTCTAAAAAGTATGTTTCTTGATAAAAACGCGCAGTTTTGCTAGTACCCTTCGTTATGCCACTGCTTTACTTATTATTCCAACACATACAACTTTTTAAAATCTATATCAACGACTTGTCATCTCTCCTGAAATCTATTGGTGATTATCCTATTCTAGCTGACGTCCTAATATCACATCTGCTCTGGGCTGACGATCTTGTCCTACTTGCCCAAAGTCCCAAGGCCTTGCAAAACAATATAAACATCCTATTCGACTTCTGTAACTCTATGGGCCTTGAAGTAAACATTAAAAAAACCAAAATTGTCATATTCTGCCCTCCTAAAAGAAAACAATCCTATGAAACATTCATTTTGGGAGGCCAGCCCATCCAACACACCGAAAAATACTGCTATCTTGTAGGGACTACCGGTGGGTGATGAATAATTGAGAATCCAACAGGATCTTGTTCTCTTCATTGTGCTGATTCCGGGAAGCATTCGTTTTACGCTCTAATCCTATTAAAAATCGAGATATCGGTCATTGAAAAATGAGTAATTATAGGCCTGTCAATGATTGCAGCCCAATTAAGAGCTGATCAGTTGCAGCTACTTGAGCCATATAAGGGATAACTGAAGTCACGTGACCGCCAATCCTATCACGTGACCTTGATTCGTAAATCCTTGGTCACGTGATCACATTCGTAACGTGTCGAATGCTGACTAGGATATCTCGTGACGTCACCAGAGCTCAAGCTTCCTGACCAGGCCTTATATGGAATAATATAGTGTATCACGTGTAATTTGATCCAATTAAGAGGAGTTGCGCAATTATCGCAGCATCTCGATCTGGTACCCAGCAGGCAGCTGGGCCAGAGATTTTAAAGATAAAATAGAAGGATTTTTTGTTAAGGTAAATCGAAGCGAAAATCATGTAACCCTATGTTTTTGATGACGCTGAACACGATAAAACTGGTTATAATGTTCATACTTCAGGGGAAATTGCTTTAAAATGCAATTGAATGTCATATCATCAATTTATTATGAGCTGAGCAGCTTATCGGTTGGTTATACTGCATACTGCAGCATCTCTGCGAATCCTTATAATTGTAAACAACGAAGCCTGTACTTCTCAGGTTGTGTGCGTGGTTATGCTGTTATGAGACTTGAAATTAAGACCTCTTTTGAAAAATTGTTATACTAATAATCAACATCGATAATTTATTAATGTTAATGTGCGTAAATTGATCACGACTGTACTTGGTACAGCAGGCTGCAGATCACCAGGTGGAAGCTGTTAAATTAGTCACGAATAAACTCAATATCATAAAATATAAAATGAGGCAGAATGCAGAAGGACAATCAATCTTTTTTTCTTTAATTCAACTGCAGCTTGTTGAATTTCCTCTTTTTGCTGGCTCCTGGGTTTTTGAGCCGTTCGTCTGACACCACAATATGATGCCCGGCTTTCATATCCTCATCGGCGCATCTCAACTTTGCGTCCGTCATCAGTGCAACTGCTCTTTCAACAGCCTGCTGATGGCAGGGATATGGAGTCACCAAGGGTGTCTCAAGGTACTTATCGAACTGCTCAGGATCTGATGGGTGCGTCCTTATAATCGATGGTATGGTCACGGCAGCCCACTCGATCTCTCCTGAAATATAAAATGCTAACCTTTAAATAAAATAAGATTTGATGTTTAATACTATCCGTATTAAGTTTTAAGCTAATTGCCTCGATCAATTCAAAGTTTTGAAACCAGATACGTATCTCAATAAATGTATCAAATATCAATGGCCGATGTCACCTTTTCGAGAACTATTTATAGCAGAGACGGTTTAAATAATTGTTACGCAGTAGATTTAATTTCAAATGAACTTACTGCACCCAGTTTTAAAACAGAGACCAAATAAATGATACGGTTTGAAAGACTTAGTCTTTCTCACCGGATCTTTATCCTCGATGTCAGTGTTGTAAATAACAAGGTCAAGGTAAGATTTAGCATTTCTGTTAATCTCTGGCTTGCAAAATATCCGCGGTTTTCCATTAGGGCGTACTGGCCGGTTCATGCCCTTCTGCTCTAGCTCTATGAGCTGAATGCAGAGAGCTACGCCCTTTTCTCGAAAAGCTCTATCAGCGTCACCTTGAGTGTGTCTGAGAAAGATTTCACTGTACAGTTACATATAAGCGTCTAACTAGCACTTACTTGTTCAAGTTGGAAGATGAAAAGAACTCAGTTCGGCTGTAAACTTCAAGGGAGCTGAAATGGGCGACCATTTTTTCTGCAGCTAGCGATATTTGTTCCATTACGTGCAATGGTCGTTCTTCTTTGTGAAACATAAAAAACCGAAGAACATCCTTGTTCGACGGCGGTTGGCTTGGAAGGGTAGTTATAGTTCCGTTTATGTACTCAGACAACTTCATTGTTAAATCAAGAAAGCTTTTTTAGAAATGATCACTCCATATTATAATCCAAGTTTTCTCTAAGACCGCCCACGTGCAAATTGAGACAACTGTCAACATTTCATTTAGGGTTGCCATGGTTAACTGTGCGATTACTACGCAATTGCACGCTCATTTTAATTTGCTGTAATGTTGCCAAATAATGAGTGCCCACGTGTAAATTGCGCGAAAAATAAGAATTTGCAATAAGCAACGGCTTTGTTGTTATATTATTTGTAGATATCTGACTCTGTATTTGTTAAACTGAAACTTTATCAAATATTCGGAAAAATAATTCCTTCGTCTTTTCAACCTGAGATCTGTCCCATAACAGCATAAGTATAACCACACACACAACCTGAGAAGTACAGGCTTCGTTGTTTACAATTATAAGGATTCGCAGAGATGCTGCAGTATGCAGTATAACCAACCGATAAGCTGCTCAGCTCATAATAAATTGATGACATGCAATTGCATTTAAAGCAATTTGCCCTGAAGTATGAACATTATAACCAGTTTTATCGTGTTCAGCGTCATCAAAAACATAGGGTTACATGATTTTCGCTTCGATTTACCTTAACAAAAAATCCTTCTATTTTATCTTTAAAATCTCTGGCTCAGCTGCCTGCTGGGTACCAGATCGAGATGCTGCGATAATTGCGCAACTCCTCTTAATTGGATCAAATTACACGTGATACACTATATTATTCCATATAAGGCCTGGTCAGGAAGCTTGAGCTCTGGTGACGTCACGAGATATCCTAGTCAGCATTCGACACGTTACGAATGTGATCACGCGACCAAGGATTTACGAATCAAGGTCACGTGATAGGATTGGCGGTCACGTGACTTCAGTTATCCCTTATATGGCTCAAGTAGCTGCAACTGATCAGCTCTTAATTGGGCTGCAATCATTGACAGGCCTATAATTACTCATTTTTCAATGACCGATATCTCGATTTTTAATAGGATTAGAGCGTAAAACGAATGCTTCCCGGAATCAGCACAATGAAGAGAACAAGATCCTGTTGGATTCTCAATTATTCATCACCCACCGGTAGTCCCTACTATCTTGGCATTATATTCCACAGAAATGGATCTTTTACAGCAGCAAATACTGAACTGAGGGCCAAGGCTCTCCGTGCTCTCTATGGCCTCAAAGGCAATATCGTCAAGGATGCCCTCTCTCACCGTTCCCTAAACATTCTATTTGACTCTCTAATAAAACCGATACTGCTCTATGGCTGCCAAATCTTATGTCCTCACTCAAAAACCATGAGATACCTCTCCAAAACAGATAGCAAAGCCAACCCCCAGCATACTCTCAGGTACATCTCACAAGACCACTATGAAAGATTCCACCTTAAGTTTATCAAGTGGTCCTTGTCTGTCCATTCAAAAGCATCAAATATAGGCTGCTGGGGCGAAAGTGGGCGCCACCCCCTCTTCTTTCAAGCCTGCAAACTTGCAATAGATTTCTACAGTCGCCTTGAAAGCACTGAAAATGAACTTCTCTCCGCTGCATTTCACGAGCAGATTATGCTGGGCCTTCCTTGGTACACCAGCATCTCTAATCTTCTCACCAAATATAACTTCCCCACTCATCCTCTTCAAAATCCAAGCTCTCTACCCAAATCAGTCACAACATGAGGGACGAATTTGTGGATACTTGGAAATCTGCCAAGGCATCCTCACCTAAATTAGAATTCTACAATCAAATTAAACATGATTTTGAACCAGAAACATACTTAGGAGTGGTTAAGATCCCCGATGCTCGGAAAAGCTTAACAAGGTTTCGTATTAGCTGCCACAATCTTTACATTGAGAGGGGCCGTTACGAAACCCCCCTAGTACCAAGAGAACATCGATGGTGCACTTTTTGCTTTTTCAGCAAGGGGCTTAAGCCTATTGAGGACGAAATTCATGTTCTAACTGACTGTTTACTCTGCTCCTCAGTTAGAGAAAAATTTAACTTCCATCCCAAAAATATTACTGACCTAGCCGGTTTGCTATCCGATAAAACACTAGACCCTACAAAATTTACTGCCACAGCAAGAGCAATCCACTCAATTCTCTCTGTGAACGAAAATTTTACAGCCTACTATAAGAGCCCAGATTTCCACTCAAATACTGGCCAATGCATAATGCTATAGGACCTCAAAAATAGTATTATAAGACATTTCTATTTTATCCCTACACATTTGTAAATAACTAGAATTGTGTAACCTTAAATTATTTCAGAATTATAACTATTGTGAATTCAATAAAATAATTATCACTTTTGTATCCTTGTATCCTTGTATCCTTGTATCCTTGTATCCTTGTATCCTTGTATCCTTGTATCCTACAACATGGATGTCATCCCATAAACAGTTGATAAAAGTTGTATGAGGAATTGAGGAAGCAAGTTGATAATTTTCAAAAAATTGTGTTTGGGACTTTTAAATGTTTTTTATTAGGTCAAAGTATCTGGTAGATCTTACGTAACCAGCATGATGTTGTTGGCACCAAATTTAATCCGTTTCTAATGATAATTTTAATTCATTTCAGAACCAAAAGCCTTATTATATTTTAAAGTACTTCTCACATGAGAGCTGTGATGATGCAATTTCTAATTTGGCAGTGGCTCTCAACAGTTCTGGTATCCGCTGCAACTTAAAACCTATCAAAAGTGGTAATGGAATCCACAACAATTCTCCCCTTCTACTTCACCAGTGCAGCAACTTACTGAATAACTTTGTGGGATTTTCAAACTGGTCTCTTGTTGTAGCTGGAAGGGATGTTGTTGTAACTCCTGATATCACTGTTTCTATTTCAGGTATTTCAGATGACTGTGTACTTTCTAAATATTATGATCTTTACTTTAGCACAACACGTTTACATTACTCTTCCCCCAAACACTGCGGTAAATCAGGGTTTTACTGTAGTAGTTCAATTTGCAGAAATTTGATGTAACACCCAATTAATGTTTGATAATGTGTTTCAACTGAACTAATCTATTTCAGTTGAGATAAACATCCCTCAATTTGACATCACTGCCACTGGCTTTGGAAAATACAGCTGTGGAGAAGCTCAGTTATCCTTAAAATCGAAAGGAACGAAACTGTCAGTTGCCAATAAGATGGCATATGCTCGCGCATGTTCAGATGCATTCTCAACTCTTGCAGTTGTTATATTACCCTCTGGGAAGTGTTACGTCGCTCATATTGATACCACTGAAAATATACATCTGGACTTCGAGGTAAAACAGATCAAGAAAGATGCTGTAGCATCGATCCCATTTTTGATCTGAGTTTCAATACCTTGTAAAGTTTTCCGCTGTTGAAAATTCAGCCGTGGTAGGATTAATTAAAGATATCAATTGTATCAGGTATCTGTACTTTGCAATCCTTTATCAGTTACAGTACTTCCAATCAGGTTAACGAGGTTGACGAAACAGCAGATTTAGATATGTCGGAAATGCTTGACCTATTACTTTCACAGCCCGGGGATGATTGAATTACTGGTATATACTGTATATATTGTACGGACAACGGTAAGTTGTCTGAGTTAGCAACCCCCTAGTTTGTTGGGCAACTGCTCTCTCAATCATCAAAAATACCGGGCTAGAACTCCCTCCACCCCCCTCCACCCCCCTCCACCCCCTCTTACCTTCACACTCGAAATGTGCCCAAATTAACATTGCTCAGAATACGCACCATTTAGTAGCTGGATGGGTCGTACGATAATTTTCTCAGCTCGCTACTGAATATGTACCTGGTCAACGTAATATTAACTATATATTTTCTTCGCTGAATAATGTGAATATTAATATCTAACTCTGACATTTACACTGAGTTATAATCTGTATTCGAATATTAAGTCTTTTCACAGAATCGTTATTGACACTTAACATATTTTTTCTTTGGATTATTTTGAAGTTCGTAATTTGAATAAATTTTGTACGGTGAACTTTCCTCTAGTTTTTTGTAGATTGTTGTTGTTAATAGCGTAGATCGTGATGATGAAATGTAATTAAGTTGTATTAAGTAATTAAGTTGTATCAAATACCCTAATATAATGTTTTTCTGTAATCGTGATTTTCATGGCGAGTTTAAAATGTAGTTTAAATGCGGTTCAAATTGAGTACAGTAATACCCCGATTTACCGCGGAGTTTGGGAGAAAGGAAAATCGGGGTTTTCCTGTATGCGGATTAGAAAAAGATTGTCTGTCATATAAACGAATAACAAAACCCCTTTTTTAGCTATGAGCTCCAAGTTTTCCATCAGACTGTCCAAACTTTCAGACAAAGAAGATCTGATAGAACTAGTGAATGAAGTGTTTGAAAAGTGTGAGCGACATCTCTGGCTGGAGCCCCACCAGCGCCTCTCAGAGGAACGGTTCAACTCTCACCACAACAACAGGGAACTGATAGTTGCTGAAATACCTGATGTTATTGTGGGATGTGTGGTAATGTCTACGGCTGCAGATGGTGTTAAAAAGTTCTCCATGTTAGTGATCAGGCCAGAGTATAGACGGTTAGGAGTGGGGAGGATGTTGGTTGATTTTGTGATAGAGTCTGCGAGAAGGGAGGGGTGTAAGTGTGTCAGGGTGGAGTCTATGTATACTTCTAATCAGCCTGACCCTTGGAAACAGATTATAATCAAGTGGTACAAAAGTCTTGGGTTTCAATTTGTTAGAAATGCGGACTTTGCTGATCATTACCCAAATTTCGTTGAAAATCTAGCTGTTGAGATAACGTTTTCTATTTTTGAAAAATCACTCTTGTAAATAATAAGTGTTAATTATACAGATTCCTTTCCTGTAATTGAGTAAAATTTTGGTCGAAAAGATTATGTTAATAAATATAACTTATGCAGATTGCAGTGACTAGTTTTATAATACTTTTTTATAATAATGTTTTTTAAAAAGAATTATGTGTACGTAATGTAATTCAGTTTATTGAAGTTGAACTTTTTTGCGCGATTATAAACATTCACATCCTTTTCAAGTTGATCTTTATAATATTAAAATCCGTTTACATGTGCAGGAATTAGATGAACTTGATGGACAAGGTTCGCATCAGACCGAGTAAGCTGACAGATAGAGACACTCTGATGAAGATGGTTAATGAAGTATACGAACAGTGTGAAGGGCACATCTGGATAGCACACCACCAGCGACTAACTGAGGAACGTTTCACAAGTTACCATAGCAACAAACAACTGTTAATTGCTGAGACACGTGACACTTCAATAGTTGGGTGTGTTGGTATGTCTGATTGCGAGGGTAATGGAAGAGAATTGTCCATGTTGGTGGTGAAGCCGGATTGTCGTGGTCAGGGGATAGGACTACAGTTGGTAGAACATGTGATCAGTACTGCTAGGGGTGAACAATGTGAGTACGTCCGGTTAGAGCTGTTGTATCCTTCACATCAACCTGACCCTTGGAAACAGAAGCTTAGAAAATGGTACGAGAGCATTGGGTTTCGGTTTGCTAGGAATGAAGATTTTAAACTACATTTTCCTGACGCAATACCTGATTTAGTTCAAGAAATCACATTTTCTGTCTTTGAAAAACCGTTAATTGAATAAAATAGAAGTTTTCCGTTTATTTGTAACTTAATGTTTTTTAAATTTATTTATTCATGTTATCTGATCTCCCGGTTGACTAGTTATTGTTATTCTTTCGGCCCATTGCTCTCATCTAAAATGTTGTCCTCTATTTTATTAGATTAGACATTATTCGAACAGGAAATTCATACAATAATTTAATAAATCTTGAAGTTCTCAAGTCTCAACATGCGATTTATCATTATGGCATATATAATACTATGATTTATTGATGTAGTATTGACTGACTATAAACATTAACTTATGTTTTGTTAAAACATGTTTTGTTATGAACTTGTCTTCTCAAACTTTGTGGAACACGACCGATGGTCCCACAAATACAACTCAGCATGAAAAGTGGGACGTGTTTGTAACGCGCCAGGGCTAAAATTCAAATAAACTCCGTGCGCATACCACGTGGCCACGCTTGAATTGAAATAATATTTATTAAAAGGACTGAATTCAGAATTGCTCGCCCAAAATATAAAATTATTGTTAATACATAAGGCCTTACTAGCTGGGCCGCGCTCAGCCTGTCATTCCGCCGAATCTCTATTCTATATGTTTATGAACATGATAGCCTGAGGTCCGGCCCAGGTAAATAAGGCCCTGTGGGTATGAAAGTAATCTGTCTCAATGTATTTTTCTCGAAGAACAATGTCTCGTATTCGTAACTGAACAAAAACAACAACGTAAGGGTTAGCATATGCTTTAGTTAGGGATTGGTTAGGGTTTACTGGGCGGCGCTCAGCCTGTCATTCCGCCGAATCTTTATTTGTTTACGAATTCATAATAGCCTGGGGACCCCAAGTAAGGTTAGGGTTGGAGTTTTGAATAATCCTTCAGAGTTCAGGGCCATCTCTAAAACGTGATAGTCTAAACGTCGAGTGCAGCGTGATTAATCGGCTTTTACATTTTAGTTTTACTATAAATTCGCTCGCCTTAAAATTATCACGTGACTTTAGTTTTCATGGTTTTGCAGCCGAACAAAACGGTTTTACTGTTTACATAAACCCTAACCCCGAAGCTATCCACAACCCTAACCACAACCAAAGCCCTAAACAATAGAATTCGTGTTTAAGTCTTTAAGTTTAACTAGCCTGTCACGTGACAAAAACAGTTTTTTTCCATTATACTCTCGATCCAGGGAAGCATTCAGCATTGTTATTTGTTACCCTACGGCCTACGTCATGGGGGGTGATTCGGAATCAGCGTCTAAAAATACACTGATTTAGGTCTCTTTTATACCCTCAGGGCATTTTCACAAGAACTTTTTAAAAATTGAGGCGAGCGATGGGTGGGAGCGATTTAGTGGGAGCGTAACTAATCATCATCCACCTTGAATAGGAGGATCATAACGGACTTTAACTTATCTTTCAAGTTTCTCAGGACCCAAGCCACCATCGTCTTGGCGTTTTAAAGCAATTATGTTGATGTGAAATTGTTCAGGGTATTATAGAAAGAAAATAAATCTTTAAACATTTTAAAACTTGAAAATTATATGAAATTAAAAACAAGCAGATACTAAACCATGCAAATCTGGCACTGAATCATGTTTTATAAATGAAAAGCAATTGCATTGTTAACGGGTGATACCCATACAATTGTATTGCGGACAGCAAACCCACTGGACTGTTCATTGCATTTTTGGCAGATATTATAGGTCAAAATAGGTCATTTAGAAATTATCATAAATGTTGTAGCGCGATGCACTACTGGGTCGCGCGCGCATCAAATAATGCTTCTCGCAACCACAGCAGATCGGCGAGATGCGAAGGATTGACATCGTCAATCAATCATAAATGTGGAACTTCAAACTTGCCATCGTCGCCAGCTGAACTTGCTCTCAGAGGGAATGGGGTTATAATTATAGTAGTTCATGGAAATTACAAATGCTAATGGGAGAAAATGGTAGGACTCTTACAGATACAGGCGTTCCCCCCCTCCCCTCTTAATTGACTATTAAAACATTTGACTCAGATCTACACCTTACTTTTAACATCTTGCTCATTTAAATTACCCTGACTTTCTCTTTTTAATCTCTTAGTTTTAGTCTTCCTCGCCCCTCTCATTATTGAGTTGTGCCGCTCAAGTGCAACCACCTCTGCAAATGTCTCTCTCCGGTCGATGTTCATGTAACCCTCAATCACACCGCACATCTCGGAGGAGGCGGCGGATCTGCTGTAACGGTCACAAAGTGTGCTGAACAACTTGTCACGTTCCGTCTGTCCCTCCAGGTTGCCGGTTGTGATCCGCTTCAGAATGTGTTGTCTCTCTATTTCTGATCTGTACCATATCGTTACCGGAATCAGGAAAAAGTGGAACGGAAAGAGGAAAGGTTGCCCGTTTCTATATTCCTGAAATTGAAATTAATTATTCTGCAGGATAGTACATTGCGAATGAACGCACTTTTGGTAGATATATAGAACGTCTTTGAGTTGAAGTTGTTTGACTTAACGAAGCATCCTTCATACGGCTTGGACGTATTTATTTAGTTGTTTACACACAAGAATATAATCCCGGACACATTTCACAGTATGACATGAAAAGTTGTTATTAGACAACCAGGGTGCAATTTTGAGTTGAACTTATTTCACGCGATTCCCTCTAAAACGAAAAAAAACTATAAAAAGGAACTTAATTGTATTTAAAAAGCGTATTTTTTCCGTTCACCCTTTTGAAAAAAGGCAATAGTGAAAGGTTACGAATGGACGTTTTTGCAGAAAAACGTGGATTTTGGAGATAGCGGTAGGCAGGTCTGAATATGTTGTCATCTGTCCTTCCGTCCGTTACCATGACAACCAGCGCGCAGTGCAGCGCGCAAGGATTGCTTGCGGAGATGTGATGTATAGATAGCCTGTGGTCAATGAATGCGCGGCGCGACTGTGTTTCAATGTATATAACGGTGTAATGTATAGTATTAGGTTATATGCGGGCCAAGCCCGATTTGTACTTGGCATGCGTAGTATAGTGTACTGACGTGTATCAATATTATTATTATGAAGTGAGCTGATTGGAGCTTATATTTATAGTTATACTTATAGTGAACGGAAATCTAGCGTCCGCCAAAACGAAACAACGGGCGCAATTCTTGTTAAGTGTAAAATAAAGGTATTAACAATGGTTTTAATCTCAAACCTTGAGAAGTTCGCTTCTGGCATATTTCCACTCAATGTCACAGTTTCCCTGGATTCTTTCGAAGGTATTGTTGAGAAGGGCTATTAACATGTTCAGCATGAGAACCACTGCTAAGATGATGTACAGGAGGAGAATAATGTACACCACGTAGGTTGAAGTGCTGTCGTTTCCCACTTCTATCTCCTGTGAGGGTGAGTTTTAGAAAGATTGAAAGTAAAGTCAGATAGTTTGGAGGTTAGGCACTCACTTTAAGCTTAGTAACACTAACAGTTTAAAACAACGATTGTAAAATTTTAACGGAATTATAGTTTTAAACTCTGAAGAAAATACTTACTGGTACTTCTAGTAAACCAAATGTTGACCAAATGACATTCATCAAACAAGTCCAGAAGTCTTTGAAGAATTTTGGGATGGTCTTTGACTTGACATCTGCTCCGTCCAGTACATTATTATTCACCAAATCAGTAATGGTTTCATTGTGTGTTCTCACTGTGCTAACTATAGAGTGAACAGCTATAGCAGTACCCAGCACACATGTCAGCAGCACGATCAGCACAAATTTGAAAACATCAGCAATCAGGGCTCTCAGGGCGATCAGGAGGGGACCTAAACCAGGGAAGAACTCCATAAAGTTCAACCATCGCAGAATAATGAGAAATTCTGTAATGGCATACAAGTAGGTAATGTTCAGGATGTCTTGATGCAGATTTTCCAGCTTAATCAAACTTAAACTGTCGTCAGGGTTATCATATGTGGCCCACACAATGATTCTGTATACAGCAGCAGCTGCGATCATGGCACAGGAGAATATCTCTAGAACGTTCCACATGTTTGGCAGGTACCTCCAAAGTCCCTGCTGCCACATCTGATCAAACTCTATTAAGAGTCTGGAAACAGTGCAGCACCATAACACGAACTCCACGTCGAGAGGGACGTGAGAGTTCTTAGGACTCACACAAGTGGCGATAAGTAGTGCCAACAGTAACACATAGTTCATTATATCGGTCACAAAGCACATGAACGGAATGGAGAGCAGTTTCATGTGTTGTGCCACGCTGGACTCCATTGGCGATACTTTAACATGTTGCTCGAACACTAGGAACTTGAGCAGATACCACGGAAGTAGTATAGGACTCAGAAAAAATTTGGCCGCTATTCTTACCTTACCGAATGTCATTTTATAAGCCACTTTGCCGTACCAATCCTCAATTATGATCTGCTGGCTAAAAGGATGTCCGACAAACCGTTTCTTTCCTTCGTCAATCGCTTTTCTGAGCAGCCCATGTGATCTCTCCAGCACCTCCCTGGCTTCCCACATCCTGTCACAATGATCCAACATTTTGTAGGCGAACACGTCAGCATCCCGGATCAGCAACTCAAACTCCATTCTAAACTCATCCCTGATGTTAACTATGGCCTCTATACTCTTGCTAACATCGAATGCGGCTCTGAAGGGGTCCCTACACTTCAAGTAAACATCGTTAGAAAGCAGGTATGTCAATGACTTCACGCTGAATCCTGACTCGAATCCCGCGACATCAACAGATCAGTTTCCTTCTGATACCTCAGATAAGAGGTGAGCTTGATAACAGCCGCGTTGAGGTTAGCTCCTGCGTTGAGGAGAGCGTCTATAGAGTCCCTGTCTCCTCTAACAGCAGCGATACTGAGGGGGCTATCTCGCTCCGTGTTGGTCACGTTCGGATCACCCCCGTATACCAGGATCATATCTACCATCCTGTAACTGACTTTAGCAGCAGCAATTAGTGGCGTGTCTCCATCATTGTTTTCTGTATTCGCTACATTCAATCTAGTGTAGTGCAATGGGGAGCAACCTATTTTAGGGACAATATCCACTTTGTGGCCTCTTTCTGATAATATCTTCTCAACTCCATCATAGTCTTTCGCCGCAATCATCTCAAAAATCTGAGTCGTCTTTTGGCTCAGGTCCTCAAGGCTTGGGAAAACCTCGTGATTTTTGTGCAGCGTTGATAGTTCGTTGTTATCATAGTTGAATTGCTTGTCTCCTGAGTTAACTGGGGACAAGGAGATTGTGGGAGAAGTAACATCCGGACGGTATTTGAAATTGATAATGATTGTCGGATGTGTCTGTCCCATCTCTTGTCTTCATCGATCTTATTGCTTGGATCATCATCTAAGGGTAAGGATATTGAGACAGTTGGGGAAAGGGCCACTGTATCTAAGGTAGCTTCACCGTTCATATTGCATCTTCGCACTCTCAACCTAAGAAACAAACATTTGTTTACAATACCAACTTCGAAAGTACAAAGTAAGTAAGGCGAGAAAATCCCTAACTTTGACTATTTTCTGTCCGAAATTTCAGATGAAGTTTCGAGATACAAAGCATTTTTAACATAAAGTGACAATTTGAGTTTGACAAAATCATTAATGTCCACTGTTTGGCCACCAGGCATTGAAGTTTAGAATTAAGTTATTCAGATTATAAATTGGCATGGGAAAGCTACTGGTGAGAAATCGAAAATAGCTTCAGGAGCCAAGAAAAGGCCGGTAATAATTTGAACTTTATCTGGAAAACTTGCTGGCGGTAAAGTATGAGCAGAATGTGTGGTATCGTGCTGGTTAACATTAAGTAAATATTAGGTTTGTAACTAACTGACGGCTCTAAAAGCTGCAGCAGTTAACATGAGACACGTCACGATATAAAACAAGCCTGTACATTTTTATATAGGCTTTTATACGCTTCTATTCCAAAAATTGAATCCGAATGCAACATTTAAATCAGACAAACGGTTTAAAATGAAGAATCCAAACTTAAAACTGCGCCAGAGATTACAATCCTAGAAAAATGAAGTTTGTTGGTGTGGTTTACAAGTGTAGTGCAGGGTATGCTGTTCTGATCCATTGAATATTGATACGAAAATAATGCTCAGATCGGCCCTCGCAGTCTCATTTCAGCGTTTGCCTTATAAGTTCAAATGCGTTCGACACCCGTATACCTTAAAAAATATTCTTTTATTTCTCTTTCAGAAGATACGCAAGAAGTGATGCGCATTGCACAACGAACAAAATTGTCCAAACTCTGCGGCGTTCGAACCTCAAATCAAGACTTTAAGTGTCTTACAAATCAAGACACTTAAACTTAAAGTAAGTTACATCAGATTTAAAACATCATCGCCATAACGAATGTGAAGACTTTAATGTAACCAAGGTAACTTATGAAGCTAAGCTAATTGCGCTATAACATTACACTGCAAGTGCAGTATCGTTGGTTATAATATTAGTAATAATTAGTAATAATATTAGTTATAATAACGGCACCTCAATCTAAATTCCGATTACGCTCAGTGATCGTTATGCTCACAACATTCAAACTTGTGCAATAAGATTTGCTTGTCAATATTAGCAAACATGTCGCTCATAAGTTGTGGCTTGATTTAAAACTCGGTTGATCTCATCACAGCTTGAATGGAAGTAATTGTTGCTTTAATGCGTGGCGTGAAATACACGGTCATTCATGTTAGGAGAGCTTTTACAAAGTCCAGTGATAAAATTGCAATATTGTTCAGGTTACCCCAAACAAAGACTAGTTTAAATGTGAATCGGTCACGAGGGCGTAGGACACGAGGGCAGAGGTCACGAGGGCGAAGGACCCAAGGGCGGAAGTTTCTAAAAGGTTGGACACGAGGGCGATAATCTATCACATGACACAAGGGCGGAAGTTTCCTAAAACGATCACATGACTCATTTTATCATGGAAATATACAATTTGCGATAATTCAAATAAATAACTCCGAATAAGATTTACCAACAACACTGTTGTGACAAAGCTGTAAAAATTAAAGTCACTAAAAAATAGATGAATTATGAACACAAATATTTCCGACCTACTGAGTTTCCACTTTCCAGGCTACTAAACGAATGCCGTAAAAAGACACTGAAGGACATACCATTACTATTACACAAGGCCTGATGGCCAGCTTACTTCCGGCTGATATGTCCGGTTCATTGTTGCAGGAGATTGGACAAATTCTCCGGACCACGGCAACAAAAGAATTAAAAGTTTGCTCACATGCCGAGCTCCAGGTATTATGAAGAAGAAAATTATCAGATCCAGCGAACTATTCGACGGGGGGGGGGGGGGGGGACAATGGATATTTTTTTGTGAAACTTGATTTCGAGATAGCAGTTGACCAACAAACTAGGACCAGTGACCAAACTTTTGAGGGGGTCCCGGACCCTAACCGCCAAACGGTGCCCGCGGGGCAGCCACACCCATATTTGGTCCAAATTAGGCCCAATTTAGCCAAATACCCTGAACATGCCCAAAACCCAGATTTTAGGTGCTCTTCTTGTAGCTAGTGGTCTCCTGAACTCGTATATGAAATTTCATCAAGATTGGACAAAAAATGACTGAGTTATGGGCCAAAAACCATATGCCCATATTTGGGCATACGCACCAAATTTGGTAGATTTCGTCCCATAAATTGAGCAAATATCAATATTTTTGAATGAAACTTACTTTATAAGAAAGGTAAGCCTAAACTACATATTAGCTGTAAGTTATAGCTTTATATTTGTTTAAATGTGGATACTAAGGCGAAAAAACCACAAAAAATGAACTAAATTGCCCGTATCTTGGTTCGCGATATTCGCGGAATTGATCTCATTAAAATTGTAACAACTCAATCAGTTTTCAAAATTTTTGCATGAAATTTTCGGAATCGACTCGAAATCGCATTTCCACCTTATTTTGAGAACAGATTTTTGATTTAGGCCTCCAAAAAAATTTGCCGGCCAAATTCTGAATTTTTCCGGGAAAATTTTGGAATTTGGCCGCCAAATTTTTTTGGAGGCCTAAATCAAAAATCTGTTCTCAAAATAAGGTGGAAATGCGATTTTGAGTCGATTCCAAAAATTTCATGCAAAAATTTTGAAAACTGATTGAGTTGTTACAATTTTAATGAGATCAATTCCGCGAATATCGCGAACCAAGATACGGGCAATTTAGTTCATTTTTTGTGGTTTTTTCGCCTTAGTATCCACATTTAAACAAATACAAAGCTATAACTTACAGAGAATATGTAGTTTAGGCTTGCCTTTCTTATAAAGTAAGTTTCATTCAAAAATATTGATATTTGCCCAATTTATGGGACGAAATCTACCAAATTTGGTGCGTATGCCCAAATATGGGCATATGGTTTTTGGCCCATAACTCAGTCATTTTTTGTCCAATCTTGATGAAATTTCATATACGAGTTCAGGAGACCACTAGCTACAAGTAGAGCACCTAAAATCTGGGTTTTGGGCATGTTCAGGGTATTTGGCTAAATTGGGCCTAATTTGGACCAAATATGGGCGTGGCTGCCCCGCGGGCACCGTTTGGCGGTTGGGGTCCGGGACCCCCTCAAAAGTTCGGTCACTGGTCCTAGTTTGTTGGTCAACTGCTATCTCGAAATCAACTTTCACAAAAAAATATCCATTGTCCCCCCCCCCCTTAAGACACAAAAGTTTTATCGTCTAAAACTAAAAATGTACAGTGAACTGAAATTGGAATTTGTTGGCTGAAAGCCTCACAACTCTTGGGCAACTGAGCAAAGAACAATTTAATATGTCAGCTTTATATTTATATCGGTCTATTGAAATTTAAGTTAAAAGAACGGAAAAAACACCATATTTGGTCAGTTGAAGCTACGTTTTCTTCTTTATCTCTCCAATAAGTGCATTGTAGAAAAAGAGAGAGGATCCACAATTTGTATTGACTACGATATAATTGTGCGATTGTCTTTTCAACCAAACATTTACACGTTATCCTACTTGCAGGTATTATTCCTTTGTCCTACCGAGATCAGACTAAAACAGGTACAGTGGTCAGCGAATAGTGATCGGTGAGAAAGATTTGTAAATTATCGAACACAGCATTAAAGGATAGGTGGGAGTTATGGTGTTAAATGTACCCGAAACCAGAACTAATACAATAATACTTTAGCACGAGCTTACAATAGGAGAAATAGGGATCCATCACAATTATTATACAGGAGTAGGACTACGCCAAGCAACAAGGCAAGTGGCAACAGCTGTGTTGGACCACGCAAAGGTTTGAAAAGCTGTGTTTAAGTTATGATTGGTATTTTCAATGTTAACATATACTTATATATATAGCCGATCCTACCATTTAGGCCTTATGACTATGAGCGTAATAAGTTATAATAACCTGTAGTCTGTACATTCTATAACTTAAAGAATGCGGAATGAGTAAGTGGCTAATATTATGGAAATATTACTACTTAAATCAGTGTTACTGTTGATGTGGACAATGTAATTGTAAAGGTAAAATCGTGGGAGCACGGTGCTTTCGATGATACAGACTGGCCGCTGTGATCTTGACTTCTGAACACATTTGTGCATATATTGCAGTACGGTAAAGTGATGAGAGGAATGCCGAAGGGGCAAGTGCTGGTTGATATTGTGCCTTTCATCAACTAGAGAAGCAACAAACGGATTGGGGACAGGCGTGAGGCGAGCAACCGCCTGTTATGAGTTAATGAAAGAACAGCTTATTATATATTATAGACATAGTTATAGGGAACGAATAGCATTATAGTCTGTGAATAAATTCATCACAAAGGTAAAAGGTTTCCCTACAGAAATGTGTTGTAGATAGCCCAATGAACCACAAAGAAAACTTTGTTACGAATTTATTTACAGATGATCCCATAATATATATAAATTACTATTCTTAACTGTAACAGTCACGTGATCTACCAACCGTGGGGCACGCTGTAATGCGCGCGCTTGATTGGATGATTATAAATCTAATCGCGGATCTATTTTTACTGTTTTTTTCCCGTTATAATTATGTAGTTCCATTTCACACACGGTACTTCGACGTACACTCAAGCAAGTCATAACTCGAAAGTTACCTTTTCTCACGATTAAATGCTTTATGAGTGGAACCTTATTATTGATGATTAGTCTTTTGAATAAATTGAATATTACGCGAACAACAACTCGATATTATTTAAGTTGTAATGGACAGTTGTATCACTTTGATATCGATGTTTTCATCGCAAATGAACACGTCGACTGAACACGTGAATCTCTCATGTTACCTGTAAGTTGAATTAAGGCCTTGCAACTTTTAATTCTCGTAATTTAATCGAGTCGTTGATGAAAGTCTCGACTCTCAAGGTCAACAAATGTGGAACAACTTCTCTACTCTCTCATGGGACCTGTTAAAACGAGGTGACTTGTCGGAGGTTCAATT